AGAATTGGATGGGAATAGATGGGAAGAGCTGCATAGGAAATCTTAGGCATGGGGCTAACAGGTAGAATAGCAGGTTCCCACAAAGCACCCCTTTTTCAAGAAGCTAGAGCAGCACCCAAGGTGTTTTCCTTCTCATCCTCTCTTTGTTCCAGGAGGCTGGCACGGCATCCTGCTCCCCTGCAGCACTGGCAGGCTGTCATCTTGCCTTTGTTGAGTTCAGTGGCCGAGGCCCGTGCGGAACTGAGGGCTCCAGGTCTGCAGCTGAGCCATATGGCTGCTGGCACAGCATCCCAGGGTGGGAGGTGTTTGTCCACCTTCCTGTAGGAAAGAACCTCAGAAACCCCATCCTTTCCTTGGGGTCTTTATACTCTCATTTTAACATCAGGTGAAGCACTCAGGGTTAAGGTGATGCCTTAGGATTTTTCGTTTCTGTATTTTCATGCGTCTGTATTCTTGTACTTCTCTAGTACAGCACTAAAAACTACCATTCTCTCATCTTTAGACAAAACAATCCCTCTCTGAGCCTGAATCCAAGGACACCTCGCTGCCTCAGGGCCCCAAAATATGTAAACAACAGCAAGTTGGGGGGGAGCAAGTTTGGGGTGGTTGACATCATCACGTGTAAAGATCATTGGAGAATTAAGACCCAATATGTTAATAAGGCAGAACTTATAAAAGGTGAAGATCTCGTGACTCAGTGTCCATTTTGGGTGTAGCCTCAGGAGGAGGCTTTTCTCTGCCTAATGTACCAGGGGGGCTGTTAGGCCTGGATTAAAATTGTGTATTCTCATTCTCTTAACTTTGTCTGGCCTCTCTTTCAGATYAGCCTGATTGATAAGGCATCAAAGGAGTGCTGAAATAAAGCTGCTTGTRCATACTGTAACTCTTCCTCTGCGACATAATTCTCCCCTCTGTTAAAACATGCTTTTCTCAATGAGAGAGAGGAATTATGCTTGTAGGATGTACTTTGTGTCTGGCCTTCTGCAGAAAAAGAAAAAATGCCATTTGAGAGTCAGGGAATTACTTGAAGAAAATGGCTGTAGCAGCCACAAGGAACAGATCTTATCCTCCAAGCCAACTGAGTTTTTGTGATGATGAACAAGTCATTTTAAGCTGAGCTTTTCAGAGGCTGTCATTACCTGTTGTACCTAACTCATTGGAGATGCCCAATCCTAGAGCCTGGAAGAAAACTGGTGAGAATACTGCACGCTCTGTTCTGAAACAGAAGTCTCAAAAAAGCATCTCAAATCAAGTACTCCTCAAATCAGCAGATACTTCTGAAATTGTGCCATCTGTGCCTTAGCTCACTCACCATGTAATGGTAATAATGCTACTTCTAAAAGAAAGTTGTGGGAGATTTTGAAAATAAATTAGCTTAATGTTTTGTGATGCAGTCAAGAATAAAGAATTGGATGAGGGTGAAGGCTGGAGGAATAAAAAGGAGCTGAAAGATTATGCTATAAAGTACAGTGTCATGCACCTACCATCTAATGCAAATGTCTGCTRTAAGCATGGAATTCATCAGCTGGAAGCTACAAAGGACGGAGAAAGAAATATCTGGGAGCATTGCTAGGTTTTATGCTAATTGAGGCATCACTTTCATGGTCTATTATAATGTGATCTTAAAAGGTCTCAGTGGCTATCAGAGAAGCACTAATGCCTTTGAGCTTTTGGGAGGACTCATCTGGACACTTGTCTGTACTTCAGTCTTCACTGCAGAAAGATGAGAGCAAACTGGAGAAATAGCCARTGAGGCTGTTAGCAAGGTCAGAGGAATGGGGGGCCAATTTAAAAAGGTAAAKAAAAATATATGGCCTTGCAAAATGAAGGTGGAGAGACGAGTAAGGCAGCAGTTTGTAAATACACCTGAAGGATTAGCAGCAAGATGGAAACTGGATGAGCTGAAGTACAGTTCTTGGCAAAACAGTCATTAGGTTTGAGATTAATGGGAATAAGTTGAGGTTGAAAATTAAATAGTTTTAAATAGCATCCCAAAGGACAGAACGGAAAGAAGGCACCTTGTTTGGCTGGAGGTGAGGCTTGAACCCTTTGACAAGGGTGTGAACAGGGCCTGGGCTCAGATTTAGGAGTCTTCAGCCAGTTAAATATGTTTATTGTAGCAGATGCAGCATGCACACTTGGACATCCTGCCTTCAATGTGCGTGGGTGGTTGACCTTTTCCTTCTCTCTAGTGAAATCAAGTCAGTAGGAATTATCTCTGTRTATTCTGGTCCCATACTTGAGAGTTTGAGCTGCTTCAATCTTAGTAAGCCTTGAGGAGCCAGATTACCAGCATATCTGCCTTCAGAATCGGGGAGCATATGAGGAGATCTCTTTTCAGATGGCTGTTTTTTAACATGCAGCCAGAGAGGTCTGTTGAGTGCCTGAGCATGTGTTCMAAGAAGAGGATGTATATGCTCTCTGTTAACATTTCCAAGATGCAGAAAAAAAAGCCTCGTGTCTGTTTGCTCCARGATATCTGTTTGTCATGGTTTATGCAGCACGTTTGAGTTGAAAAACTCTGTTGTGTAAGGGCTGAAGGGAAAAAATACATTGTTGAAGTGGAAGCATTGCCATTCTAAGGCTTTGGATGGCTTCCACTTCATGTTTGTCACATGCAATTCATATCTGAAAGGAACATGTGTCACTGCTGATGTGATGTGCCATGTCATAAAAGCTTTGGTGACATTTTRTGACCTCTTAAAAGTAACAAAAGGGGTTTGCAACTTGTAAATGCCATCTGCCATGGCAAAGCAACTTCCCAGTTCTCTAATCACATATGCCTCTTGTGAAATGCTGCATCACCTTGAAAAAAATCAGCATATTAATGGAGGAAACTTGTCGTTTCACTCATTCCCAGATTCTTTACATAATTCATCTAWTAACTTTTTTTGCTTATTAAGAACCCTGAGGGGAGGAAGTTGCAGCAAATCCATGATAGCTTTAGGAGTTMTGTTTTATTAGAGCTGTATTTTACGTTCTGATTTTCACTCTCTGAATTGGAATCATTCGCTCTAAGATCTTAATCTTCTGCAGATATTCATGGGGTTCACAGATRTAAGTGTGGTAAGTCTGAGCTGTCTCAGGAACTGGATTTTTGGGGGGTGTGTAAAAGGAGTGGATTGTTCTTCATTAACCTATGTTTGTTCCTGTAGACCATTATGGGAACTGAGATGTGCTAATTAACTTAAAATGAATCAACTTTTGTCACAACGGTAGACTCAGATATGAGACAAGGAGACCAGATTTTGGGTTCAGTTTTTGCTGGGCTGACAGCTTATATAATGAACAGTTTTGAATCAGTAAGGACAGTTTTTACAGCCTGGAAAAAAGTAAGCAGTGTTTCATGCTTGGATAGGAGAGAAGAGCACTTTATCCACTTATCTTTTACTTTGCATAGTGCTGTTGTTGGCTGCTCTGGCTTTTACGTGTCAATAAGACAAACTTTCTAAAGAGACAGTTTATTGCAGGAAATGTGTCTGCATTACAGGTCAGGTACACAACATGCATTAATTTCTGAGTAACAATGAGCAAAAGCTCCTTCAGATGGTGCCAGGGTAGAAAACTGCATCTCTACAGACTGTGGTGAGAGGCAACAGATCTCCCTTCTGTCATAAACAGTGCTTTTTGTATTTGCTGAGAAGAGTGTGAGCATTGTCTAGCCCTCACAGCCAGCTCTGAAGAAGTTAGGTCTGTTTTTATCACTGCRTTACAGGCAGGGAAGGAGGTGTGCTGAAAAATGAAGTGACAACAGTAGCAAATCTGTGTAAGCAGCAAAGCGAGATACCAGAAGCCCTGGTTTGCCAGCTTGTCTCATTGCATTGTCCCCTGTTCTTTTGACTGTGTTTGTACATAGCATTGGTGACATAGCAGCCCTCAATACTGATCCTAATTCTGATTTTTATACATAAGATTATCATTTCCCTGACAGGACCTATCCTCAGGCTCCCTGTTGGTAAAAAGATCTTTTCAATCCTTCATTGGGGTATTGAGAGGTGAAGCCAGATGTGCACGGGTGTCTCAGAATGGATAAATAAAAAAAAAATATCACCCAGGGACAAGAGAAATCAAGAAGCCTGTGATCATCACTCTGAATGTAATGTTCTGAGGTGGCAGGGGTATGTTCTCAGTCCAGCACTTGCAAGACTAAATCATTACACTGAGCTGCTCCCCTCCTCACAGACCATATGGAAAGGTCCCACAGTGCACGTACTGCCCCAAGGGTCCTGCTCACAGATGGAGTGATGAAACCCAAAAGCTGCTCTGCAGGAGTTCAGTGGGTTTTTGTAGCTGCTTTGCCATGCAGCCATTTCAGTCTGACCTGTTTTATAGATCCTGACGAGGACTGCAAAACAAACTTATTTTTAACTGCTATTCACATGATTCTTTTCTTACCATTCTTAATTTTAAGAAGCGAATATGGGAGTTAGGTGCCATAGGTCTTTGCATTGGCTGCTCTGCAGTAATGACTTTTTTGCCTGGTTTGGCCCTGAAACAGAAGGAGAAGCCATCTCTTTTTTTGCAGTAGCTGCAAAGTGACAATGGTTATTTATATTAAGCAGTTCCTGCAGGCTGGTTGGTGCAGKGTGAAACTATGGTGTGGCCCTGGGAGATACCAGTGCAAGCACCTGAAATGGAAGATATTTGAGCTCCTTAGAGGATACTGTGTAGCTTTTTATCACAGCCCAGTCATAGCTGACATTTAAAATGTGATGCAAGAAGAAGGGAGGCAGATTAGGAGATGTCTCAGTAGAGGTATTGCAGCCCATMTGGGCTTTTCAGAGCGAGAAACTGTGCCCAGCCGGGTGTCCCTGGATGGTATCAAAATGCTTGCTTTGTTGTCTGCTTGAATAATAACCAGGTACACCGTGTGTGGGAAGGGATTTTTGGAGCAGAAAAACTCCTTAGCATCCAGCAAGGAAACAGCAAGGCACTGCTGTTGGGAAGACTGCATGAAGAGCTGCTCTCCTTCTAACACTTTGCAACTTTTCTCCTTTTAGGAACTTTCCGCTGTACTTTCTGTGAGACTGAAGTGGAAGAAGATGAGTCGGCAATGCCCAAAAAGGATGCAAGGACACTCGTTGCAAGATTTAATGAGCAGATTGAGCCCATCTATGCGCTGCTGCGTGAGACAGAAGATGTTAACTTAGCCTATGAAATCCTGGAGCCAGAACCCACAGAGATTCCTGCCCTGAAGCAAAGGTGGGAGCACACTTGGTCTTTTCTTAATCCACTCCTTCCTTCTAATGTGTTCCTCTGCTTTCCCAAATCTTGTACCCCACCAACTATGCAAGCAGCTGGCAGATTCCCCAAGGCATGTGTGGGGCTGTAACCATTTTTTACTGAACAAGGCAAACAACTGTTCTTCTGGTCAGCCTCCTACATGTTGTTTTCTGAGGTGGGATGCTTGAACTGCCCAGTGCTTGCCCTTGCCCCCAGTATTTAAAAAATGCAAACTGCAGCTCCTTGGCAAAGTTCTGAAGGTGCCACCTATCCTGTCCTCTATCTCTCAAACACTTATCTTTCACCTGTTCCTTTTGCTTCTACCCAGCTTTTGAAACTAAGCTATCTGCAGTCTGCACCTTGTAATTCAAATCCACATATTACAACATTTTAGTTTGAAGATATTGCTTGTAATAAGTGGGTTTTTTTCTTCTTATTTCATCCACTGTGTTACACACCTCTTCTTTTCAGAAGACCATGTTGGAATCAGAAACTTAAAATGTTCTTACCATGGGAAATGACACTTTCTTTCAGAACATTCCTAGCTTTACAAAAACAGATGATGTTTAAATAATGCAGAAGGATGTGGGGAGCTGTCAGTTTTGTCAGCTGTGGTGAAATGTGATGCACTTCTCTGTATTTAAAAAAAATTAATTAAACACACTGGGGAAAAGAACTGTACCATGAGGGGAAGCATTCCCACAGTGCCTTGGGGTGCTTGGCTTTAGTTAATAGGAGAACAAGCAGGATACATTTTTTTTTCTTTCAGGCTAACCTTGAGAGATAATGTTCCTCATATATTCATGCTAGACAGGCTTCTAATTAATATAATAAAATTTCTTTGTCTATTCATGGTCTTTTTCTAGCCAAGAAGGTAGCTATTTTTCCTCATCATTSTGATGGAAAAACAGAAACATTACAGAGTGGAAAAGATTTTTCCAAGGTCACTCAACATGTCTTTGGTGATATGGGGAATTCTTTGAAGCCATTATACCCAAGCTGAATCACTAGACTTTGCTTTAAAGTCCCTTTTCTGTAGTTTAAGTAGAACTGGAATAACCCTACCAAAAAGAGAGTAATTTTTCAGTCTTCCCCTTTTGTGTACAGGAAATTATCACAGCTGAGGCCTGGTGCAGTCCCATGATTAAATAGCAGCGCCCACTTACTTGACTCTTAAATACTTAAAAAAGATTGTAAATGATTAATTACTCTGTGCAAGGAATGACAGAATAAATAGGTAACTTTTTAAATGCTTACTTGAACACAACTTGCTTCAGCACATGCAATGGATTAATTATTTTTTAACTCTTATTAATTCAAAGCTGCTAATTCCATGAAAGCATTGCTGTGAGATTTTTAAAAGTTCTGAACCCTGGGTTATTTATTCTCTCTGTTTTTGTGGAGTCTTGAGTGTCTGAAATCACTGACAAAACTGACATTTGGGTGATTCTGAAACAAATGGAAAAGGTCACAAAATGCTTGCATCTTCTCTTTGGAGTATCTCAGGCAACTCCATGAGTTTTCAGGAGAGTTACAGCTCTAGGTGTCCCCCACTGATATTGCATAACTGTCATTCACCTGCCTTGGTGGATAGATCTTCATTTATATTTTCCTAAGAGGCTGTTAATTTTCTTAATCGTGGGAGAGCATGAATTAGCCCCACAGGTTTCAAAATAAACCTGCTTTAYTTAAGCCCTTCTCAGTGGTTTTTGAAAAATTACGGATTTTAACAACTCCTCTATTTCCTTGTGTTAAAATAGCAGGATTTCAATTAACAAAAAATCTTCATAGAATTAATTTTCTGTGGTCATGCTGCCAAAAACCATGGGTTGTCTGTTGTGAAGCTGAGGCTCTTAAGAGCAGCACAGTGAAAATGTGTTTTATTTCAAATGTAGCAAAAAAAGAGTTATCCCCATTATCTGAGATCTTTCTTAGTAGTCTGGGCAGGATTGAGATGAAAATATCAAGTTGTTTGCCTACTGCACAGTGTGGTTTCTGAGGCCATACCTCAGCTATGTCAAGGACTATTTATGCTGCCTTTAAACCACTCATTAAGGGATTTACATCTGGGTGAATAAAACAACCCAAAACGTGCAAAATGTAGCCACATCTAAGCCACTGAGCTGCCACAATTCCTGCCTGTGAGGTGGCCATGTGAAATCTAGAGCAAGGTGGGGAAAAAGTAGTTCATAGATCTAAGAAAGAGACATTTAAGAGATCCCTTAATCTGCTCTGTGCTGTCTAATCCTGTAGTTTGGAACAGGCTGCTGAACAGTAGGCTCTCTTCATGCAGAAAGAAGTGTTCCCCTGCTCAGGTAGTCTTGAGGYGATGCTCACACCAACCAACAGTGTCTTGAAGATAAAAAGATGCAAATTGAGGCACATTTTCAAAACTCACTGGGGTCCAAAATTAAACAGAAAGTGTCTCAATGGTTCCACCTCAGTGTGGGACATTGCAATAGATCACGTGAAGTGATTATTACCGTAGGTGTCTCTAAGAACTGTTACTTTCAATTTTGAAACATTCCTGATGTCATGGAATAACTGTTTTGCTGCTAAATAGTTCTGTGTAGGAAAAAAAGTAAATTTCAGGCACACTTAACAGGGATCTCTGTGCAAAAGTATTATTAGGTAGTTCCTGGTACTTCTGAGTGTTTAGTGTCACGCTGTAGTCATGGGGAGGGAGAGCTGCATTGTGCATTCTGTGAGGAAAGTGGATTACATAAAATCGTCAGGGAAACGCTAGTTAGAGATTTCTATTGTGTGGGAAGCAGAGTGGTGCTTTTCACAGAAYACACGCCTGTCTTGGAGAGCTGAAAGGTTCCAACACTTGAAATGACACGCTGGGAGGAAGGTCTCTGTGTGATTCCTGGGGTTACATAAGCAGTACATGCGCATGAGCCTAATGCCCCGAAATTCAGGGCTGCTGGGAAGCTTTCCTAGCAGAGCTGGCTGCAGGATTGCTAAGGACACAGGACATGCTAACACAGATGCTGTGAAATATTTTGCTGACAGATCCCAGCAAATTCACTGAGTAGCCCCCAATCAACCACTCTGGCTGAACACCCCAATATTTTTTATCTGGGAAGAGCACTTCACCTACCTGTGTATTTTCTCCTCACTGTTTGCCCCCAGAAAACCCAGCTCATCAAATAGTGGTAATATCCTTGCTGAACTGAAAAGGAGCCTGCATATTAGTCAGGTCTTCTCCAAGTGCAACTTTATTTTAAGCTTCTTGGATGAAGAAAAGGTCACTGGGTAGACAGCAGCAACTGAACCATGCTCACTGGTGACAATTGTCAGCTCAGCTGGCATCATGGAGTATCCCTGATTTATTTATTCTTGACAAGAGGAGGAGTCAAGGCAGAGCTGTTCCTCATGAAAAGCTGTAGTTACCCCTGGCAGTCAGATGACTGAAATTATATGGCTGAGAGTGGGWGCAGTCTGATGTGCGTTTGTTCCTCTGAAAAGTTGAAATATCATTCTGAAACAGAGGAACAGTCACGTTTGGCTTTCCCCACCCAGAGAGCAGTGAGTTTCCATTAAGTTGCTTTTCCTGATCCGTGCATATGTAGCAGCACAGGCCAGGGCATATTTTATGCTTGTTGCCATCATCAGTGTGCAGAAAATATTTCATCTGATATCCTCTTTCAGTCAGATCCAAACAGGAATGTTTGTCTCCATCAGTCTCCTGAGCTAGAAGAGACTGTGGGGGAAAATGTGCTAAGAACAAAAGAGGGCTAGGATTCCATACCCTTCACATGGGTCAGCACCTCTATTTCCCCAGTTTTTACCCAGAGAAAACAGTGTTTTTAATTGTGAGTTAACTCCTTCAGGAGTCCTGTGATTAGTAACACACAGCTCTGAGCATACTGGGTGCCTGGGCCTACTATCTACCTTGGTTAAACTTCAGTGCTTTTATTAKGCACTATATGGTTGCTGTGTGAAGGCCAAAAAGAGGCTTTGCTAAATATCAGGCTACTGTTTGACTGTGTTTTGCTGCTGTGGCTTTTGTTTCAGGCAATTCTGGGATTTTATGTTTGTTTTTACAYGAGTGCATCTGCCTCTTCAGTGTCTGTGGTGGATATTGCCATGGCCTTATGTAGGGTTTCCCACTGGACATCCACAAGAGATTCCTGGCAGCACATGTTAAAACTGAGAATGAAAGTTCTCAGTGCAGATCACGAGACATAACTAATCATRATTCAAGTGTTTGTGTCAAGGAGGGGCTTGTTCTGAGTGCTCTGTTTTTCTCTCTTTGATTTTGATGCAGCAAGGAGCGTGCAGCTGGTGCTGGTGCAGGGGCAGCAGCTGGCCTTGCAGGTGGCCACCATCGGGAAGCATGGACTACAAAAGGACCATCATATGAGGACTTGTACACCCAGAATGTTGTCATCAGCATGGAGGACCAGGAGGATCTTAACAGGTCTGCAGTTGAAGGCAAGCCAGCCAGAGAGAGACCCATTTGGCTGCGTGAGAGCACCGTGCAAGGGGCTTATGACCCTGATGARATCAAAGATGGTAAGAAATTCAGAGCACAAGTCCTGCTCTGCTTATACAAGGCCTTTAMATTGCTGTCAAAAACATGTTCTCCTGTGCTTGTACAGCTGCTGCTCCCAACTCTGGAGTCTGTCTGCTCCTCTCTGCTGTGCAAAGCACCTGTGTGTAGGCAGATGTAAAAGTTCCTTAGATCCAGGATTGAAATCTAGGTCAGTAAAGCTGAGCTGTCCATGAAATTTTGTGGGGGCTTCTAAAATGTTAATTAACTGTTATGACTTCCACGTTRAGAGCTTATTGCTTCTAGATGAAGGACTTTCAGTTTCATCTAGAAAGCTGTCTCCCTAATAGGTCACTGCTGAAAAATAGCATTTATTAATGTTCAGTGACACTGAAGTCTACCAAATCTATCAGCAGTGTTAATGTGCTCCCAGCCTTCTTGCCACTTGTTTATTGTAACTTGTTATATATGAAGAATACTCAGAAATTGAGCTTCTGGAAATACAGTTCAAAGGTCTGTCACCATGGCAGGTGAGTCTTTGTTCCCTTCCGTTTGTTTCTTTTTTATCTTTGCTTTTATTTTCATTCATCTTGGGGTTGGGTTGTCCATAGACCATGGTCAAGATCCAAGTAGAAACATTCTGCTTTGGTATGTGTGCTGTTTAAGCTTCCATGCCAAAAATAAGAAATGATTTATGATTTTTACAAGAGTGAGTAAATAGATACAATCTTTAGAGTAATTTGAGGGTTATGGACTAAAACTGTTATGCCCCAGGAAGAGAAGGTGGCAAAAGGGAGCCACTTGTGTGAACTCTGGAACTGAAGCAGTGTTCAGGGGAGGAGTGGAGTATTCAGGTATAGCAGAAGTGAAGAAAATGGATGTGATATAAWGGCCAGAAGATACCTAAAGAACTTGTTCCCATATAATGCCTTTCAATTGTATTATGGATCCCAGAACATTTTTCAAATAGTTTAACCAAAGTGAGATGATTGAACAACCTGCTCCTGTAGTCTGTAGCAGATGTTGTTAYTCACCAGCTATGGTGAGTTCTCACCCCATTTTTCTGTTAGACATTCAGTTCACCTGTAGTTTTAAATTGACTCCTTGAGACAACTTTTGGTGTACACARCATAAATGTTTCTCAAGATGCCATTGAGGGACATGCATGTGGAGTGTGTCTGCTTACAGGATGATGGCATCACTGCTTAACCTCCTCAGCTACTGGAGATCAAAGAGGGAATGTGTAGAAATAGCCTGAAATTGCTGCTGCAACACATAAACAGGAAGGACAGAAACTTGGGACCATTAACAGGAGAGATTCACTGCTTGGATCTGACAGGAACAGTTCTTGCAAGCAAGAGACAGCCACAAATTCACCCTTTGTGGAGCTGCTGTGGGCTGTTGCCATTTCACAGCCCTCAGTGTGATGAGCTATGATGTTATTTCACAGAGGAGCTATGATGTTATTTCACAGAGGTGCTCTCCCACAGCCTCTTGTGCTCCACAGTCACAAGCAGTGAGCTGAGCACACAACTGCCAACACGATGCCTTTATTCTTCCTTTCTTTCAAGRATTTGGCAGTGTTSTARTATTAATAGTTGGAGCCATCACCCRTTACTATGACTTCATTTACAATGAAAACAGAAGTCYGGTGAAATTAGGTGTGGTTTTTTTGGCCTTTATTTTATCACAGGAAAGGAGTGGCCACAAACTGCCCTGGCTTTTAGTGCTAAATGCACAACTTAYTTCTTTAGTTTACCAGTTTCACTGTGTTTTTTCATCTCAAGTTGAAAAATGTAACCAGTGCATTTCTGACTGGCAGGGGAGGAAGTCTTTGGGAGGCACCTGCCTGGATATGGTGCTAAAACCATGAGGGTCTGTGTCTTGGAGGAGTGGGCAAGTGGCTGCCTCTRTGAAGGCAGAATGCCAACACCTCAGCTCCAGCAATTGTTCATRGACAGCATCTTTTGGTGCAAGACAGAAAATTTGCCACAGGGAGCCTGTCCTACTTTTTAGGCCTTGTTTTTACGTAAGGTTCTCCATATTTCATTTCTTGTTTTGTTTTCTGCCTTTTTTGGGGGGGGGTTGGTTTTGTTTTTTGCTTGCTTTGTCAGGGTTGTTTGGGTTTGATTTTTTTTTGTTTTTGATACTGCCTGCAGTTCTGTTGGTGCTGGGTGGAATCACAGCCCTCTCCTCAAATGCAGCATTAGAAGAAGTTTTCTGTGGAATACTACTTTTGAGCAGAATTTTACCTTTTGAGTCCATGAACTGCAGACATCCTGCCTACCACTATTAAACCCTCTCAGCTATTACACAGCCACATTTTTTGAAAATGGAGCACAGGCTAGCTGTGTCAGCTGGGACACTGCAGTCCCCTTCAAACAAGAGGTGCATGTAGGGAGCCAGAGGAACTGTCTGGGCTGTATTTCAGCTTGGAGAGCAGGCAATGGTTTAGCACTGTGCTGCACAGCTTGGCTGCAGGCTGTCAGCTGCATCTGCTCCATACCACCACCACATTCCTGTAAGGAGCTTTTCCCTTTCCTGCCTGGTAGATGCACCTCTGAGCTTACCAGGCACAGCTGCTCTAAATGTTTTGTAMCACATGGTTCTCACAGATTCGTCTGCCTGGATCCATTTCTTCTCTGTGTTAATCCTTGCAGGCAGGGAGCTTAGCAGGATAAGGCCTGGGCTTGGGTCTGTGTTTTAAGGACTGCTTTGCTTTCTGCTCCACTGTAGTGCCTGAGTTGGACACTTCCCTAGGGAAGTTCTTTCCAGGTGCCTGCCCATCATGCATTTGTTGTCTTCATTTGCAGTGTGCTCCAAGTCTGGGCCTCCCAGCTTCTGGTTCTCACTCTGCCATTTGAGAAATAACTGTCTCTGTCTTCTAAGGGAGAGGAGGAGTTGGCATAGAGAAAGGGTGTGACGTGATCAACTGCGCTCAGTGGCAGTAATTAGGAAAGGTTAAGAAAACACACAGGGCCATCACACAGATCTCTGTGAGGAAATGCTCATTCCCTCGTGTCCCTTTGCAGGGGGCCGGGATCTGGACACGTTCCAGGATCGTGAGGAGGGCAGGACAGCCCTGGATGACAATGAGGAGGTGATGCGTGCTCTGCTCATCCATGAGAAGAAGACACCTTCGGCTTCCACCGTCACCGTCGGCGGTGCCGCTCCTCTCTCCGGGGGCAACGCCAGTGACTCCGAGAGCGAGACCAGCGAGTCAGAGGAGGARTCCCCTCCCCGTCCTGCTGCCACAGCCTCCACAACGTATGGGCTGGAGGAGGAGGAGGAGGATGAAGAGTTTGAGGTGGTGGCAGAAGACCCCACTGTCACAGTGGCTGGGCGTCCACACTCTTACAGCCAAGTGAGCCAGCGCCCTGAGCTGGTGGCCCAGATGACACCAGAGGAAAAAGAGGTTTACATAGCCATGGGACAACGCATGTTTGAGGACATGTTTGATTAACAGGTCCCTGCCATGGCATTTTTTAAAAGGTGACTTTTTAAGGCACAGGCTCCCTAGCAGAACAGAAGASTGCATCTTCCCTCCCCTGTGCACAGGCAGGGTCACTGTGACTTGGCACTGCTGATCTCAGGCATCATCACCAGAGTCGGGGAGCAGCAAAGTTGCATGTGCCAAAACACGCAGGGGAGGATGAGGCTCAGAAGTGAGGTACAAATCTGCTTCAGGGTGCCCTGCACGGGCAGTGCTTTAACTTTCTCCCAGGCCCTAGCAGCTCCTTCCCCCAATGGTTTTAGGTTGATTTTTGTTGCAAATCCCAGTGAAGTTCTCATCCCTGCCCTCAGAGGACATAAGGGCTCCATAGTCTGAGCAGAGTGCTCTGCAGAGGAGGGTGTAAGTAACACACAGCTGCCTGTGCTTAAGGGGGGAGAAGAGGGAACACTTGTCTGCTGATTGCATGCTTGGAACAGGGCTTGTAGCTGACCCTCTGCCACTGGCCACCAGAGTGGCTGTTTCTAAGCAGGCCTGGAGGCAGCAACCTTTTCTGAAAAGGTTTCTGAACCTTTTCTTGTTCCCCTTTGCTCGCTGCTGGTTCTCAGCACCTCAAGGRCAGGTGTAACTTGAAACAGGCAGAGTGAAAGCCTTGGCAAGCACACACAGTCACTTTTTGTCAGTGTAACAAATGCCCTCCATGGATCTGATCTGCCAGTGCTCTGACTTGCCTGGAGATAYCTTCATTGTCTGGTATTGCTGCCTGTTGCTTCTGCCTAGCCCTGTCCAAACTCCAGTGTTGCAGACAGTTCATAGTGGGCAGAGCTGCTGTCAGGCAGTGCCAGAGAAGTAGCATAACTTAAGTTTTATTTGCAATCTTCCCAGGGCTGTATGATTTTAAGAGGAATTAGACAATTTTGAATTCTGCTTGGCACACTCTTTTACCACAGAAAGACATTTATCAGTGCCTATAGAGCAATATAATGTTTTTTAATGTTCTTCTCTTTCAATTGAAAATGTTGTTTTTTTTTTTTTAAATCGTTTTTTCCAACACAGTACTACAATAAAACAAAATTATAAAAGAGTTCTGTGTTCCAGAGAGTAGGGGCAGCATTATGTGCTGTTCCATTTATATGGGCGCTACAAATTTGYTGTTCACTGAGACTGTAAATCTGTTTTATACTAACTATGCTTTCTATGTTCTGCTAACCTTGTAATGCCTCCTTTGTGGTTTGATTTTCGGCTTCTTGATATTTTGAATCCCCTCTTTTTWAAATAGTGTTTTAAATTTTCTTTTAAGTCATTTTAAAGAGGAATAAATAAACAGAAACTTCTCCCCTTTGTCATCTTTCAGTTTGTCTTGTGCCTAKCTGGGAATGTTGTTTGCTTATCATTTTGATTTATAGGATTCAAGAAAAAAAACAATYTGAGGTCTCCTTTGAGAGAGCTATTTGAAATCCCACTGCACATTGTTTCTCCTTACCAGAGCTTCTTTGACTGCCTCTTGGAATCTCCTGCACTTCCAGGATGGATGTTTCATTACACTGATGCTATGGGAGGCTGSTTTTGATCATTGCCATTTCTTCCTGCCTTCCTCAAGGGAAGCATAGGCTGATGGTAGAGGACTTGCAGACATCATAATGCTGGTTAAAATGGTGTTCCTGTGCAAACAGGCTTCCAAGATCTGGTATCAAGCTTCCAGGTTTCAAATCACAGAGCTGATAAGTCAGATTCAGTGATCAGCTAACACAAAAAAACGTGCTGTACCCATTCTGCCTAGATTTAATCTGGCTGAATTCAATATCAACACTGGAGAAAAGCAGGTAGATTTACAAGGAGCTGAAAGCAGAAACTGAGAGCTAATCCTGAATACAGAAAGCTGCTCGTAGTCATAACTCACCAGTACCTTATACTGAGTTTTCAGTTTGCAAAATCAAGCTGTACGTTTAGTAAAGCTGAAGTGAAGGAATACCCAGCATAACAATCTATAAAGTAGTGTTTTTCTCAATAAACACATTAAATTGTGGATTGTGCAATAGTTGCAGGTTTTGTCATTCAGCAAGGCACGTCCTGCACATGGGGTAATCAGAGCAGTGGTTGTGGGGTTTGCATTTCATCTGTCATCCATCACCTGCAGCCCTTGGGAGCACTGGAAAGGTCAAGGTGCAAGAGCAGATGCCATCGTTGTTTCCTGCCCTGTCCARCAGTTCCTGGCATTAGAAAGGATGGCTGCTCTGCTCATTCCAGCGAGTTTGGGCTGTTGAAGGACAATCATGCACTGCAATTCCCTGTCGTGACACACAGGGCCTGAATGAACAGGAGCATTTAGGGTTGACAGTGCCCTCTTTCTCTTCCTGCAGCTGAACAGAGCTCTGCACGCATGACAGGAGGGAAAAACAGCTTCTGCAAGCAAAGCCAGGCACTGCCAGCAGGCTGGTGCTAATGCAAGGRATAAAGCCATCAGTTCTGAGGAAGGCCCAGCCATTTCCCCTGCCTGCTGGAGCACATGTGCTGCATTAAAGCTAACCTAATAATGCTGTCAAGCCTTCCTCAGTGGATGTTCTAACACTATTCAAACCAGTTTCTGCATCTGCTTCCGGCCTAAAGCACATTTTAGCTGATGAGAATAGCTGAGAGTTCCAGAAGTGTTGGACAATGCTGTCAGGCACATGGTGTGATTCTTAGGGCTGTCYTGTGCAGGGCCAGGAGCTGGATTTTGATAATGCTTRTGGGTCCCTTCCAGCTCCCAGGGTATTCTGTGGTTCTGTGGGTGTATATGAGGGCAGGGCACTCTGTCTGGAAAGAGAAAGTCATTTCTCAGGCTGCTCATGTTCTTTTTCCTAATGGTCAGAGTTGCCTCTCGCAGCTGGATGAGAGCTGTTCCTGCTCCCATTGAAGGTCAGGGAAACTGCAGTGGAGTTATGTTGTCCCTAGCCAAGTACAGAGCAGGTCAGACCAGCTGAGCTGTTGATGGAGGGATGTGCACTGTCAACCCTGCAAAACAAGAATGTTACAATTTTTTCTACTAAGCTTCCAAAAATTAGCATCCTTCATCCAACTCTGCTGCTGCCTCCTTCCGACTTGGATTAAACAGCCTTGCTCTGTGAGAGTTAAGGGATTTGAAGATTCCCTGGAGGAATCGTAGGGGTTAGGAAAATAGCATCACCTCCTCCCTGAGACATCTAAGAGCTGTGCCTCAGTGATGCCTGCAGTGCCAGTACATGCTGTGAAGTTTAAGAGGGCCTGCTGGGGGGAAGCAGCCTGCTGTGCTTGGGTCTCTGTCTCACGCTGTGTCTCTGCAGGAGGAGAGAGAAAATTGTCTCAGGAATCAAATGCAAGACAGCCTTGATGGAAATGGAAAGGTTATGAGCAGGTGGAAGGACATGTCAGTGTGCTGTGGGGGGAGAAGCAGCAGCAGCCCTGTTCCTCTGGTGTCTGTCAGCACAAATGATGGAGGCTGTGAGCTCTGTCCTTTGGAGCAGGGAGGTGTCACACAGTGCTTCAGGTAGTTACTCTGAGCTGCCCAGGACTGGTACTGCCTTATCCTCCCTGGGCTAGGTTACCATGTCCTGGACTTGTTCACAGGAGTTTGGGAATATTGATCTGAGCATGGACAGCCAAGGATCCCCAAGCATCACAATACACTCCAGTTTATATCGACTGTGAGACAACACAGTCTGCAGCAGCAAAGGAGCTGGGGCTGAAGAGTCTTCTCTCTGCTGAGCTGCTTCCAGAATAATGATCAATATTTACAAAGTCCAAGGAGATCATCACTCGTGCAGTCTTGATAGGAGGCGTAGCCAGATGCTTGAATCTGTTTAAGATGTGAATCCACAAAGAGTCATGGAGAGGCCACTGCTAAAAGGAGTGGCAGCCCAAAGCGTGGGGAGCACTGAGTGCTGGTGCTCTTGGAAAGCTGCCTGCCTGTCTACTTTCCTGCCTGCTCCCTCCCAGCAAGCAGAGAGCAGAGCACCAGCAGTGACAGACTGTTCACAACTACAGCCCTGCCACTGTGGCAGAACTATTTTATCTCTCTTTCMAAGTTATCCGAGGAAATCTGGGCTTTTGCTTGTTTGGGATACCTAAATGAGCCACCAGAAAGTGGTTTCTTATTTACCAGCATTTAGATTGAGAGAGAGAGAATGAAGCTAATTTATATTCAAACAAAAATCAAATTTTGGAAGCACCTGGTATCTCATTAGAAAGCATTAAGGACAGTGAGTATTAGTGCAACCATCCYGAGGCAGAGAATCTCTGAACAAGATGCTGGAAATGTAGTAGGTATTTTTGCTTAAAATATGTTTGTGACCTAAATCTAATTTAATTTCCATGCCTTTGAAGGGTGTGATGCTAATGAAGGAGGCAGGGATGGCAGTGAGGAGGCTGAGGCAGTGGCTGCACTGCAGTGTTTTAGAGCTCTATGTGTGCTTCACCCTGGCTGTCACTGCCACCAGTGCAGGAGSAGCAAACCTTGGGCTGCTCAGCCACAGAAACGGGCACAGATCCAGCCCTGAAATGAAGGAAAATGAAGGCTGATCAAATGCTGTTCCACRGGCATTAATGGCTGTGTGCTAAAAAAGGTACATCTGGCAAGGAGGAAAAATCACGTCTCATAGAGATGTGATTAAAGCCCTGACATACTGCTTGTGCTTATTTTTCACCTGGAATCTGTAGTGCCAGCCTCTGCCATCCCGTTACTTGCTGGAAGAAGGAGGGTGAGCTGTGGTAATTTTGCAGTGGGCTAAAATTGTGCACAGAGCTGAGAAGCCTGGCTCGGTTCCTCTTGGTAAAGAGATCCTCCTAGTCTTAAGCATTTATTTTCTGCACTTCTGACAATGGAAATCTGCCTGAGCCAATATCAAATTTGCCAGGCTCTGTTAGCACACTCCATGCTTTTGCTGTTTCCTCATGACATKCATTATGGGGTGATAAGTATGTCAGACAACACTAATGTTTGTGACAGGCTGGCTGGTGTGCTTAGGTTGCAGTTTCTGAACCAGCCTTGTCCCATGTGAGGCAATGATTGTTTGGATCATTTTGGCTGGATTATCAATACCTGCTCTTTGCAAAGGTGCTGCTTGCAGTTCTCCCAGCCAGTGCTGATGARCTCTCATATATTCAATCTGTCTGCAGTCACACACAGGTGATAATTTAAAATTAAGCTTCAAGACCCTTTACCAACACCACCAAGCATCTCCTGTTTATGCCATGTCCACTCTGGGATGTGTGGCTCTCATGCAGGTCTCAGCCATGACTCCCTCAGCCTGTGCAGAGAGGGTTAATGAATGGTAGGTTTGTGTTTTGCCCACAAGTGAGTTCTGGCTGGGCTCAGACCCCCTAAATTCCTGTGGGGGAGGAAACATCATCACCAACCCCAGGCTGGTCACACATTCTTTGCAGTTTGAACAAGATGTGATTTGGTAGGACTGGGTTTGGTTTTTATTTTTTTAACACTTGTTCCTTTTGTTCCTTGGGAATGTTTTGAGTTGCTAAATTTCTCATGTTTCCCTGCTGCTTCTAACAAGAAAGAAACAATTTTTTTTWATGCAAATGAGGCTGTAAAGTCTTGATAGAGACCTATCTGCTCTCCCTGCCCTGTCACCACAATTATTCTTCCATTGCCATGCAGTGCTTTTTCCAAGAAGATGTGTGCTTTCAACATCTCTCAGCCCTTCTGGTGATGTCAGGAGATGAAAACTATTCCCAGTACAACACAGAAGGGAAATGGAGTTAGAGGGAAATTGGGCCTTAAGAAAATGGTGCATCATAAGAGAAATTTCACTCTCGCATGCTCTCCCAGGCCACATGGGTGCTGTATCCAAGCAAAGAAAAATACAATGTGATGAAGAAGGACTTGGCTTATAATGCATTTATCCTGGTGTATTCCCTTGCCTCTGAGCCCATTAGGAAGGGTAATATTCTCCATGGGTGCCAACCTCTTGTAAGTTCTATAAAGGCAGCAGGAAGGTCCCAAGTTAGCAACCAACCTCAGCAGAAGCCGTTTGGATGATCCGACTCCTGCTTTCACCATG